TATTTATTTTTCAGCTGGTGTTTGGTATGAATTTGAGTATTTATTATGTTCATTCAATGTATCTTTTTTTATTTCAAGTCATAGATTTATTTGATACAAATGGATTGTTGTGCTGAAATGATGTTTTACACATACCGGTACACAAGCAGATTGTTAAACTGAACACGATGTAAAATCACTGCAAGGTTTATATGTAGAGGTAGATGTACACGGTAAAATGCTTAACCTCTCTATTGACAGAACTATTTACTTTTATTTTTTATATAGGAGTATGTGTATTATATAATATGGCTGTAATGTATAAGGATTTACTGTTATACACAAATATTTCATCATACCATGATTTTTCATCTTCAAATATTTTTATACACATGGGTTTTTTTCTTTTCTGAAAAGGATCTCAACGTCCATTAAACAAATATACAAAATAAGAGCAGAGCAAACACAGACCTCCAAAACATCAGAGGTGGGATCAGGTGCCATGGAGGAGTGAGCATCCCCTGCCGACCGGTCACTTAATGTTAAGAAGATTACACTTATTGTATAATGTTTCTTAGTCTTCAGAATTTTTTTATACAAATATGGAGAGACCCTCCACTTGCCGTTGGAGAGATACAAATTTTGTCCTATACTTGTCACTCATGACCATTGTGCAGTGAGGGATATTTTTTGTTCCAATGTCTACTGGCTACTGCCACACGAGACCTCAGTTTAAATGGTAGCATCCGAAAGGCTGGTCTCCAAGTCCCACAGTGGGATATAAACCTGCAATACAAGCATTAACTCTTTACTTTACAATTCTATAGCAGACGCTCTAAACACTGCGCAAGCGACTTAGAAGTTGCTTTGAAATATAGGCCTTCAGCTATCTACCTAGCCAAATCAATCGATTGTACTGGACCTAGTTATATAAAGAGATTGTGTCTGACCTGATTCATGTCTTCATGGTCTGTCATCAACATGTATTTTTATGTAATTATGTATGTAAATGTACCAGGGAGAGTCAGGACAGAGGTCCCTTTAGGTGTCACAATTTTAATAGCAGAGGAATCTCGGGTTACATGCATGCAAGCCAATAAAAATTGAGAAAAAGTATACATACTTAGCATTTGTAATATTCATAATTACCTCTTGTCTTCTTATGTATTATATCTTGGCCTTTTTTTCCCTTCTTCCACTGCCAATCCTCACCCTGGGCCCGCTTTGATAAGTTTTCTCACCAAACTATTTATTTACCACTACAAGTGCCCACATATTGTACCTCCAAACGCTAGAGAGTAATCCAAGGGAAGTAATTTGGAAGCATAAAATGCTTCAAAATGCAGAAAAATGGATATTCAACTTTGAATTTCTTTTACACATATCATTTACCCACCAATTTTTCAATTGTTTAAATATAAAGAATATCAGCCTTTTATGTTTTATTATTGCTTAATTTGTAGATGGCTGCATTTTTTTGTTTTAAGTCTGTAAAAACTGATCAAAATTTACTATAATTTTGACATTTTGCAATGCATAACATGACCACTTACGAGTGTAAAATTAAAATTGCACTGTATATATTGTTGTTTGAATCTCTAGTATTGGATAACAACAATAAACAAAAATTTAGATATCTCTGTTCATTTCTAGACATGGTTTTTCATGAATTTTGCAAAATCTTTTGCGTGAAAAGAAAAAAACACTTGCTGTGGCCTTCAACTCGACATTTAGATATATCGACGACGTATTGTCAATTAATAATGATAATTTCCATTCCTACGTCGACACGATATATCCTGGTGAGCTTGAGATAAAAGATACCACCGAGTCTGACACTTCTGCTTCATACCTGGATATTTTACTTGAAAAGGATACTAATGGTAATCTAACAACAAAGCTATATGATAAACGTGATGACTTTAACTTTTCTATCGTCAACTTCCCTTACTTATGCAGCAATATACCTTCATCACCGGCATACGGAGTATTTATACCTCAGTTGATTCGACACGCAAGAGCATGCTCTACGTATGAACAATTTCTTAAAAGAGGTAAATTATTGACAAGCAAGTTGATGAAACAAGAATATCAACAGTCTCGTTTAAAGTCATCATTTCGTAAATTCTATGGTCGATACAATGACCTTGTCAGTAAATACAATTTATCATTGAATGAAATGCTGACTAACGTTTTTCATACCAATTGTTAGTCCATTATTTATACACTGAATTGACCACGGATTTTTTCCGTTATTTCCTGATTATGACAATGAGCACACGGCGGGTGTGACCGGTCTGCAGGGGATGCTCACTCCTCCATGGCACCTGATCCCACCTCTGATGTTTCGGAGGTTTGTGTTTGCTCTGCTCTTGTTTTGTATATTTGTTTAATGGACGTTGAGATTGAATACTGTTCGTTATTTCCATATCCTTCTATTTTCATGATTTACAAAATTGAGAAAGTTTGTATCCCGTTTCTATGGCAACCACGTTTACAATTCAAAAACTATTTTTAGATTTTATAATCACTCACACACCTGTATCAAATTATGATATAAAAATTTAAATATGTGACTATGAGTGCCAAAATATTTTAGTGATTACAGAGAATTGGTCTTAATTCTGCAATTTTATTTCACAATGAAATGTAAATATAACTAGATACGATCTCGTTGCGAGCAACGAGTGGGTCTTCCGTTCGATTTTTGATGAGATGAGATAAGATTTTGATTGAGATTTTCATTCGAACTTTATGATTTTTCATCATCTGTAATAAGACATTGAACAATAAAGACTTCAAAAAATATTGACTTTTAGCCCCTTTTGGCCCCTTATTTGAGTTCCCAGCCCTTTTTTCTTGATTTCATCTTGAAGCTCTCAAGATTTTAAACTCTTTTTCTTCAACAACTTTTCAGAGATTCTTTTTCGTTTTCGAGTTATTTACATAAGAAATATTTAGGGGCCATCCCTTCAACTCCCTAATGGGGACGTTTAGCGAAAAATGAAAGGGTGCATATTGTTCAAAACATGATTTTGAACATCTTTTGTTCAATATTAACTATCAAAATATTTCTCACTTTCGAGATATAAAGCGTCAAAGATTTAGCATTCTGGCCCCTTGTGGCCCCTAATTATGTAATGTACGACATTAAAATCATAATAAACAGTTGTAGATTGTTCAGATAAACATTTTTGCTTCAGTAATGTATAACAAAATATTGACTGTTAAAGAGTAATTGATTAAAGACTTTTAGCCCCTTTTGGCCCCTTATTTGAGTTCCCAGCCTTTTTTTCTTGATTTCATCTTGAAGTTCTCAAGATTTTAAACTCTTTTTCTTCAACAACTATTCAGAGATTCTTTTTCGTTTTCGAGTTATTTACATAAGAAATATTTAGGGGCCATCTATTCAACTCCCTAATGGGGACATTTAGCGAAAAATGAAAGGTAGCATATTGTTGAAAACATGATTTTGGACATCTTTTGTTCAATATTACTTATCAAAATATTTCTCACATTCGAGATATAAAGCGTCAAAGATTTAGCATTCTGGCCCCTTGTGGCCCCTAATTATGTAATGTACGACATTAAAATTATAATAAACAGTTGTAGATTGTTGAGATGAACATTTCTGCTTCAGTAATGTATAACAAAATATTGACTGTTAAAGAGTTATCAAAAAAAGACTTTTAGCCCCTTTTGGCCCCTAATGTGATGAGTCAGCACTTTTTTCTTGATATCATATTTCAGATCTTGTCATTTTGCACAAATTCTGTTCACTATGTCTTAACAAAATTATTATACTTTAAAAGATATAATGCAAAATGTCTCAAAAAATCGGTCATAATTCGTGTCCTAAATTTTGACCCCTACCGAGCTTCCATACTAGGCACTTCCGGAAAATATCATGACCCAGGTGCAACATGGCAACATGTCTTCTATTATCCCTGAAAATTTCAGCTTTCTAGCTTGAACCATTTTTGAGTTCCATCACAGACAAGGAGGTCCTCTAAATTTCGATTAAAGGGCGATAACTTCCGACCGGAAGTGAATATCCCTAAAATAATTTGCCGGAATTAACTTCAGATTCCAACACACCTACCATAAAAATTTGATGCAAATCGGACGATACATCTCTGAGAAATCTTCTGCACAAATTTTGTAAAGAAAAAAAAAAGGAAGAATAATAAGAAAAGTGAAAAAGAAACAATAGAATAATAGAAGGGTCTTCCGCTGAAGACGGAAGACCCTAATGACACACTCTCTAGTATAGTATGCCAGGAACATCAGCGATAGTGGGAAACTAGGGATAATTTACGAATAACGGGGTTCGACCATTTGGTGTCATTTGAAAGAACTTAATTAGTGGAGTATGTATACCAAATATGAAGTCTCTATCTTTCATGGTTGAAAAGTTATTGCAAAGGTTAAAGTTTGCAGACAAACAAACAGACAGGACAAAAGCAGTATATGCCCCGGATCTATCAATCCGATCCGGGCGCATAAAAATTTTTTAGTTCATAATTTCAAGGCGACTAATTGATATTTCAGATAATATTAAAAAACTACACTGCGTGATCCCCGAGAATATTAAAGGTATGTTATGTATTAATTCTAGCTAAGCAGTACAAGGTAAAAAATTGTTTTAGGATTGATGATGTTAAGCGATATTTTAATTTTTCATCTAAATGTATCTCTGTGTTATAATTCTATTTTAAAGGTATAAGACAGAATAAAATGTTTCAGCACTTTTTATCGAACAGTTTAAATATTAAATTATTATCTTGGTACCTAAAGCTGTATACAAAATATATTTAAAAATCGTCATGATCAAATTTCGAACCTTTTATCGATGTAACGGAAAAAATGTGAAAGTACGTAATTCAAAATATATAAAGTAATTCAACACACGTATTTTATTACATGATCTTCATATATTTTAAGCACAACACGAGGCAGAATATATCAGGAAATGGAGAGAAGAAGATTTGGTTTTTGTTGAAACTCATGGGTTTCCTGAAATGCTTCAGAGAGTGAGAGAGCAGCCTTATGTGACGTTTGTTGGCGTTCCAGGATCCGGTAAATCCGCCACAGCTCAGCACATCGCTCTGATACTGCAAAGGGAAGGATACGAAGTAATACCTGTATTGGACTTTAGAGATCTTACTCAGTATCGTGATCCAAATAATCCTCAGGTTTTTGTTATCAATGATGTCGTAGGTGTATTAGGTGTTAACAAAGCAAAGTTAGAATCATTTCTAGAGTATGAGCAAAAAATTACAAAACCGTTCTTTGAGAAAACAAAAGTTCTGCTTTCATGTAGAGAAACGCTTTTTAATCAATGTCACAAATCATTTTTCACCAAAGAACAATATGTCATTAAGCTTCACAGCTCAGAAAATGCCTTGGGTGAGGATGACCAAAGAAATATTCTTGGGAATCATGGGTTAGACAGATATTTATTGTCTTCTGCAATGCTGAAAGAAACTTCTCGAATGTTTCCTCTCTTGTGCAGGCTTTACTCAAAAGAAAAGAAATTTAAAGCCAATGGTGAACAGTTTTTTATACGTCCTATCAAATGCATTGTGGGGGAATTCGATCAAATGCAACACATAAATAATTTACTTTATGCAGTACTCGTGATATGTACACTAAATAACAACACAGTATCTGCAGACATTCTAAAGGACGAGCAAAATATATATTTTCAGAAAATGAAACAAGCAGTTTTAGAAAGGTGTGAGGTAAAAAGTTATACAGATTCATTTGAATTTGTAAACGCATTGTCAGCAATGGAGGGAACATACACAAAGCGTCGTGGTACAGAATTCACGTTTGTTCATGATTCCATGTTTGAAATAACTGCATATCATTTTGGTAGACAATTTCCGGAAATTATTTTGCAATACATGAGAAGTAGTTATATAGCAAATAACGTGAAACTTCAGAGATACAGAGAAAAACCAATTAAAAATTGTCAATTTATAGAAAAAAACAAAAGTGTGAGTAATACATGCACCGGCCAAAGAACACATAATTTTCGTGCAATTAGTAACTGCTATGAAAATGCTGATATCGGCGAACCTATCGAAGAGAGCGCTGAAGATGATGATGTTTTAAATCTGTGTATTCGGATGCCTCCTCGTAACTATCAAATGCTTGCTGAGAGATTGTACAGCGATATAAAGGATATGGAATTGTATGAAGTCTTTATGAATGATGCCTTAAAAGACCAAAATTTGTGTGAAATATTTTGTGACCTCTTGGAGAAAAAGTCTTACACAGAATTAAAATCTGTCTTTCTATTTACAAAATCGAATGTATCAAAATTTGATACTAGGGGAAAATGTTCCACCGCGAAGGAAGGGACCAATAAAGATAAAAAGTACAGTATTGAAAAAAGTATAGAAGAACTACTTGTGAATAAGCAGGATAAGGAATATATACTAACATGCTCTGTTCGAGTGATCAGCTGGGTGATTTTCTATGGACATCATAAAATTTTGAAGTACATCGTAAACCAAACTGAACTACACAGGGAAACATCTCCTGCACTATTCGGATATTTTAATGAAGGTCATGGAAGTTTTAGTCAGACAAAAAGTCGAGTTTTACCGGTACGTTACAATAAAAATCCTTTAACTAATGTTTCGGGTTCTGTAAAAGATTCTGAAAACTCAGCCAAAGAACAAACTCGCTTACTCGTACTAGGTTGTTCTGGTGGAGATATTGAGACTGTCAGAATCTTACTTAAACATGTTGACAAACGTTCCTCAATCAACAATACGCCTCACCTCGAACATGAGAGTAAAGTTTTATGTGGGCAGGTTACACCACTAACAGCAGCATGTTTATTTGGTCATGAGTCTGTAGTACAAGAGTTGCTAGGGGTAGGGGCTGATGTTAATACAGCAGGTCCTTTTCATACGCCCCTAACAGCAGCATGTGTTAGAGGACATTTGAGTGTGGTGAAAGAGTTGTGCAAATTTGGAGCAAATGTCAATTTAGAAAGTAAATACCAAACTCCACTTACAGCTGCTTGCATAGGTGGACATATTGGTATTTTTAAAGAGTTGGTTAATTTCGGAGCCAATATTAATCCTAGGCGGTTTATTTCTACAAATTCAAGTGCAAAAGAATTGTTGTGTACTAATAATAAAAAAATAGCAAACCCACAGACAATGGAACGGAATATGGATAAAACGCTGTCTGATAAGAGGGATAAACATGCTGATGTGTGTAGCGCATTAGCAAACGCAAAGGCATGTATAAGTTTTGCACTCAATTGCAAATGGAATCCTTTGTATAAAAGCATAGGGAAAATAGATAAATACAAACCACCTTTGGTACTTGCTTGTGAGAGAGGAAAATTAGAAATCGTCAGATACCTTTTGAATGCAAAGTCAGATGTGAATCCAAACACATTATACAATATATCATTAATAGCTGCATGTGCGAAAGGGCATCTAAGTGTTGTTAAAGAATTACTCAAAAAGAAGGCTGATGTAAATTGTTATGGTAAACATAGGGGTCTATCTACTAACTTTCGAGGACATGTTGAAAAGCCTCTGAATGAAAAAGCTGAAGTCATCCAAACATATGCTCGAGAAACGCCACTTACAGCTGCATGTAGAAATCAGAGAAAATTTGTTGTAAAAAAGCTGCTTGAAGCTAGGGCTAACGCAAATTTACAGAATCAGGAAGCGGAGACGCCACTGTATTTTGCAGTAAATGACAATTTAAAATCAATACATAATGGTATTTTAAAAATGCTTCTTGAAAACGGTGCTGATTGTACACTCTGTGAGAAAAATGGTCTGTCGCATTTGTATATTGCACTGATTTTTAACAGACAAGAAATTTTGAAATCCTTTAAACAGTATGGAAGTAGACAGCAGCTTAAAAAAGTAAATTATCATTTGTTTAACATCCTTGTAGACATTCGACATGCCGATGTAATCACTGATTGTAAAGATGATGTTGTGTTCACAAGGAAACCAGTCTGGGATGTTAAATTAGTAATCCTGGAACAAGTACTGAATCCCAAGATTTTAAGACATTTGCTTTGTATTGGTATTGATTGCAATCAAAATATCAAGACATGCAGAGAACCGTTTGTCCAACCGGTCGTCAAACCGTTACTTTTCACAATCATTGATCACGATTACAATATGTACAAATATAATGATCTAAAGGAAAACGTGAGTCTTCTTTTGAAGGTAGGGGCAGATACCAACTTGAGGCTGAAGTACGAAGAATATAACTCTTTGGTGGACAGAGTTGGTGTGTCCACTTTAGAAAGAACAAAACGATTGTTTCATGAAATGAAATTGAGACGGGGCGTATGCTATTACCAAAATGTGATGAAAGAAATAAAGAAAAATCTAAGAAGATATTCTATCTAATATAACCAGTAAAAACCATCATCATCTCTTATAACATTCAATTTTATAACAGTACTGAATAAGACTATAATAACCTTTGTTACGCTGTGTATTTTAATATTATTTACAATATATATAATATGGAGTAAAAATTATCATGTGGGTAATTCATGAATGTTAAATAAAAAATTAAGGCACTATACTATACTATATGAAACATGTGCGTTTCATAATCATGATTCACATTGATTGGTCATTATTCACATTATTAGTCAGTGATTCAATAAAATTCAAAAAAAAAAATTCTACAAATAGATCAGAAGATTATTTCTTTATTATCAAAATGGATCAGAAATTTTTTTTTAATATATAACATGACCTCAATAAATGATTTTTAAATGTTTCAATTGAAAATCGATAAACATTTTGAAAATTTTATAAGAACTTTTATGTATGGAAATAGTATTTCAATTATAACATATCTCTGTATCGTTATACACATATTGACATGTTATACAAAATTGATTAAAGCATTAACTACGCGTTCATTTTATTTCAAATCGTTTATTGTATAATGTTTTTTAAAAACACATCTGAAAATTTTTCACTTATCGAGTTCACCATGTATATACGTGTATGGTGCATTAAAGGAATTGCCGAGCGACTACCTCTAGGATACCAGGATATACTGCTACCTATATTTTCAATAGATGTTAAAGCTGAACACGACTTGTAAATAGGCATACGCCATTTTCGAAAGCATTATCTACGATTCATCAATACGAGGGTATACTCGTCGCATTCATTACACCTGATTGCTTTGTTGTCACGGATATCGGCGTGGAATGGCGACCCGTGTTCGTGCTGGTTATCTTGCATTACCTTTTTTTTTATATATTTTATTGCAGTTATGTTTATTTACGTTGTTTGCATACTGCACTGACTTATTCAACTATAATTGTAAATTTATTTGGTATCTTATTTTCCTGCATTAGACGAAGTATTACGTTATTATTCTCGCTTATAAATTCTGTATAGCATACGTCCGTCTACATCGATGTCGACTGATTACACTGAACAGTGACTAAGTCCTGCCCTATTTATAGGGGTCTGCATAGTAACGAGATTCGGGAACAAAAATGGCTGACATATTCCTTTTACCAATCGTGTTCAGCTTTAAGAATACTTGCTTTTAGGCGAAAAATATAATCCCACAGCTTTTGAATATATCAGACATTTGAAGATTACCTGTAAATCTGCCTATTACTACTTAAGTCATGAGAATCATACTCAAACATGGGGCTCTGGACACATAGGACAAAATTTACTTTTTCGTTTTGATTATATACTCACCGTCAATGGAAACGCAACACCCTAATTTTAGGATGAAAATTATATGCAGGTTATAACTATGTATCAAAAAAGTTTGGATATCTTTTACTTTGCCAAATCAGTTATTTAACGGTTGAATGAAATTCTTTCTATTACCGGAAGTTGCTTTTTAGCCCTCTTAACAGAATTCAGAAGTTTCCATTTTTAAAAAAATTTTATCAATATTTTGGGTTTTAAAGGTTTTGAAACTGTTAATCATAAGTATTGTTCTAAACGGCCGGGAAAAAATCCTTCTTTCTTTACCAGATGTGATGCCTTTATTTCCTCAAAATAACTGAAAGAAAGAAGGAGGGGTGTTTTATGAGTTATGTTTACAATCAAAAGTTTAATGATAACATCAAAAATGAATATATTTAGGTAAAAAGTAAATTTATAAAAAAAAATAATGCTCAATTTAAATATTAAATGTTATTTTTAGACCTTAGAAAGAAACAAATACTCGTTAAATCTTAAAACATCCCCCTTCCGACCATTTAATGAAAACGTACTAGCCCGCCATATACAACAAATGCAGTCCGATTTTTATCATGCTTTTAGTTTATTAATGTCTTTATATAAGCGAAATCAATATTCTTGGGCATTTGTAAATACATGTTTTTCAGATATTGCGGTCGAATTTTCTCTAACCTGGCGTAGTGTAGCAACTTTTAGACTTCCGGTCAAGAAACTGCCATTTATGCTTTTGAAACACATGAACCTGATATGTCGTTATATAGTGTATATTTGCATCTGCAGCTCTTTTTTTCTTTATTCTGAGAATTTCTAGCATTAGCAATGAAAATCAAGTCAAACACTAAATAATGTAAATGTTTGTTCAAGTAACAGATTTCATGAAATTTATTATAAAAATGTGCTTGTACCAAAGAACACTGGGATCCTAAATCTGGGTAAACATGTTTTGTCGTCTTCCTCGCCCTGTCTTGATGTTTTTCCTTCAACAATCTGCATACTGAATTCACTATACCTGTGTTTAAAGAAAATGGACACAGTTTAAAACACAAACTAAAACAAACTTATATGTCAAATTTGGAGTTGAAACTCTCAGCCAACTCTAAGCTTTATGACATTTGAAAGTGTAAATTCTCTATAATAAGCAAAATCTGGTTTTCAGTTTCAAATTCCCGGCATGACTAGGTTTTTACTACTCATTTTAGTCCCACTCCAGAATATGTTTTTCTTTGTCTTGTTTAATTCTGTAGTAAAATTATACCATTTTACTATGAATAAAATGTCGCCTACCTTACAATCAAAAGTGACGACGAATGCCCAGGTTTACATGGTAGGTAAACACAGGTACATGCAACAATATAACAAGACAAAGCAGGAAAACGTGGTGAAAGGTTTGACTGGTAATTCTCGACTGAGCTAGGAAACGTGCCGGCACGGGTGGATGGCTATGAGGTCAGGGTGAAAGGTCATAGTGGACTTATTTACATATACAATTTCACCACATTCCTCCCCGATTTATTTAATAAAGCCAGGGGCAATTACTGTAATTTATTCAGAGGAACTTGAAATATATAATTATTATTTAATAAGACAAGGGAAATGTATGAACTAATTAATGTATCCCCATGAACTGGGCCGGAATTACTTCTAGCGCCTTAGTTCCGCAGGATGAACATGTAAATGTGTGGCAAGATTGAAAATGGTTCAATGACTTACAAATTAAATCCGCATGCATCTTCCACACTGGATCAAATGATCATAGTAATTTAGCCATACATATTCCATGTTATCTGTTATGCATTTCCTATATTTAACACTTAATTCATAGTCAAAAGAAATCAACCTATGACCTAACACTGACCTACTTCAATGAGAGTCCTGTAACTGAATGGTGTCATATGGCGTATGCATGGTTTTAGTCGAGTGATATTCAGTTGTACAAGTTTATAACTTAATCATATACACCTGATTTATCTAATCAAATCGTGCCGGAGCGCAGCCTATGTTAGAACTTTACAACATATAAATTATCTAAACTGTTTCAATGTACATGATGTATTCTAATAGTTAACTTAATAATTTTTGTATATTACGATTAACTTCTTATGTATGTCGTCACCTTAAATATAGCAATGCCTAATATTATATATCTTAAACTAACTTAAGCCTAACCTAAACTAAGTATATTTTCTTATAACCTATCCTAAGAACTAAACTAACTGAAGAATATTTGCTGACTATTGATAGAAGAACCTATGAAATACTACTAATGAAAACATATTTACAAAACACATTCCACATCAGTACCGTCACTGTCTAAAATTAGTAAGCCAGTATGATATGGAAAATGAATATGACATATAACTATATACAAAGCAATCCAGCCCAATACCGTAACTGAGAATGGTCAGCCGGGTATCTAACGGAATGCATAAGATTATTTACATAGAGCAATCCAGCCCAATACCGTCACTGAGAATAGTCAGCCGGGTATCTAACGGAAAGCAATTTGCCTATATACATGAGCGATCCAACATGATATACCGTCACTGATATCAGCCAGGTATATCCAACGGAAAGCATAAGTTGCATGATCGCACCAGTCCTGATTGAAGTATATTTCTGGGCATCCTTAGGAACTTGGTCAAGGACATGCAACAAGATAGATCATTGCAGTATTTTGACTAATATGCTGCCTGAATATGCTTCACCCAGATTTGACCTGAATTAACTAATTAAAGTCGAAGTAGTACTAAAAAAAGTTGTACTAATTTAATCAACATTTAATCTGCTTTGATCGAGGAATAATAATACTAAGATATTCACTATGTTCATTATCTTTCCGAAAATAGTAATGACTTTCTTAAACTGCTTAATTCATCTAACTTCTTACTAAAATCTCAAGTGCTATAGATATTAAGTACACTAAATGCTGACTAATGTAAGTGAGCCTTTAGTACTTTAGTTAAGATAGTTAATACTGTGCATATCTACACTACCAGTGCATTGAGCATTTCTAAGTATAGTTTATACTGATAATGATTAACAATGGCTTAATTGGGCAAAGTATATTGACCCTTATTATAACTAATAATACCGTATATATAATATACTTGCAATGTCATGTTAAACTCTAAGTAATTTGAGCTAGTTGCATTGTACTTGTATTCTGAATGATTGTTAAGCAATGCTCAAATACTGACTTGGTTACAAATCTATAACATGTATTTAACAACTGGTTTATAACTTACAAACTACAATCTAAACATTTCCGCTCCCTTTTATTTTTTCAAGAGAGATAGTGATAATAGTTTGCTGTTCTTAAATTTAAGTAGTAATACTATAGCTTATCTGATGTAGTTTGTGCACAGTTAGCTATACTAGTGAATTTAGACTATTGTAGACAAATCATTAGAGTACTATTATGGAGAAAAGTCTACTTGTAGCACTTAACACTAATGACTAGTAGATAGTGCTGCAAGAATAATTAGCAATAATACTAGTAATTTCAGTAAGCTTAGTATAATTATCGACTTACTAAGTTACTAAATATCTAAACTGATTAAAGAACTACTTTAAGTAAGTTATTCAACTACCAACTGTGACGTTCCAGTTAAGAATTAACTACCAGTTCTAGCGTAAATATTAGTTGCTTAAATAAATTAAATCTGAATAAGGTC